AACCTGTTTTAGGTATATGCTCTTACTTTTTTATTACCAAAAAATACTTATCTTAAAAATAAACGGCCTTGGTCTTAAACCTACAAGAATCCGTATTTTAGTTTAAACACAAGTAAAACAAAACTATTTTACAAAATTATAAATTTGAAATTTCAAAAAGTTTTATAATGAATATATAAAACTTCCAGGGTATTTGTAAATTGTATATAAACCTACAATTGAACTTAAACCTACAATTTTCTTTATAAAAAACTCCATTATACAGCTTTTAACACTCCACTGAATTCTATTCTATTCTATTTTTATTTAGGATAATAAAGTTTATAATACCCCGACGAAAGCAACAAAATAGGTAGCCCCCACATTTTATACAATACCCACATAATATTTTAATTTATTATTATTATTATTATCGTTTTAAGAGATTTGTTTAATAAATTTTTAATAATAAACTTTAGAAAGATTAAATTTATTATTATAAAAAAATTTACTTTGTCTTAATATTAATGCGCTATAAACTTATTCTAGAGTTTTAATCTTCTGTATACAAACAGAAGATTTTCAAATGATTTTATCTACTCCCCCGTTTTATTCACGGGCGGAAGTTTATTATAGCTTTATTATAAATTGGGAAACAGAGGTTTAATCTGTTGACAGTTGATAGATGTCAAATTTTAACAAATAAAACTGGCTTTAAATTTTTCTTTGTGTTCGTCGTAGATAAAGTACAGTATGCAACTCGTTTTAAAAACTTCTTTAGCCACTCGGTTTATTAAACACTCGCAAGCGTCTCCCGTGCCTAATAAAACTGCTAACTAAAATGGAATTTATAAAACTTCTAACATAATATACTACTCACAATCCACATTGTGATACTACTAGTATAATACAAAGTGAGTTAATTCAGTGATTTTAAGAAAAAAGTTCATATAAATATTTTTAAGGTCAAATTGTGTACCTACCTATATAAAATTAACACGGTGCAATTCTAAGAGGTCATTTTCTGTAAAAGCTTTTTCTATATATTCTATTTAATTATGTGGTAACTCAGTGGCGGCTCGTCAGGGTAGGCCTCTGAGGCCGCGCCTCACCCTTAAAATAAAGGAACGAACGACTTTTTGTATTTATATTTTTGCCTATTACAAGTGTATTTTTACAACAGTTCTACCCAATAAAAAGTAAAAAACCAATCAATCATATTAAGCGTAAATAAAAATCCAGGCGCAAAGCGCGTCAAGTTAACGTGCATCGTTGAGTCGCTTGGACAGAGGCGAAATTTTCACAGCCTCGGAAGCTCCCATTTACCTCTTGAAAGCGAAAATGACTCACCAACAAAAATATCGCCGTAAGTTCGCGAATAAACACCGTAGATGAGGCGAAATTTAGTTGGCTTGGTTTGTTCTGATTGGTGGTCCGTTTATGGTGGGATGCCAGCGGAGACAAAGAAGGTTGCCAGTCTTCTCTTAGCGTTTGTAGAGCACGTTATTGTTTTGATTCAGATTAAATTATTTAAAACTTTTGGCTGATCTTTTATAGTTTTTGTCTCGATTAGTAAAATTTCTTATTTAATTATTGTAGGGAATACACTAAGGTAGATTTAGCAGTTTTTATTAAGCAAATTTTATATTTTGAAATAATAGATTGCATAATTCTTCAATTAGAGACGCGGTTTGAAAATTTAGAATTACTTTTAAATCTCACTGCAGACCCACAATTTTACGACCAAATAATAGATAAATTTTCAATCTTAAAAGATAGACGTATAGTATTTTATATTTTTTAATACTTAGATAGGGGTCGACTTTTAAGTTTTATTTTTATTTTTTGATTAATTTATTTATTTTTAACTTTTTTAAGACTATATTTTAAGTTTAAGATTAAAACTAGTCTTTGATGTGATATTTTGTTTGTTTTGTTTTTTAGAGTTTATTTTTTGGTTTAGTAGTGCTATCGGCTCCATTTTAAAAAAGGTCAACGCGTCGCAGAATAATACCTCCCGGGTGACGTGGAAATTTATTCGTATTTAGACAAAATTAACCTTATGTAGCCTCACCCTCCTGTACACCCACGAGCCGCCACTGTGGTAACTAAGAATTTAGGAGTAAAATAAAATATTTTTTTTTTATTTTAATATTTATTAAAAATACTATGTACTACACATTATTATCCTCATAAAACTTGTATTATACTCTAAATGACAATTTTAATTTTAAATACATACATCCATTACATACAATACATGGCATCCTTTTTAATATAGGACTCAAATGTAAACTTTTAAGGGTGCGTTTCTGTCAAAAGAAAAACATTTTGGTATTTTAGTAATCTTTTTTCAATATAAATTTTGCCAAAAATACTATAAGATATTGTTTTGGGATTAATTGAAATAATTATGTAAGTAAACCCTATTAACAAAGGAAAAATGTGTTTAAAGTAAAAAAAAACTGGTGAAGCCAATTTTGGGATAATAATTTTTATTTTTACAGTTCAATTTGTATATCAATAAAGAAGATCTTAAGAAGATTTTTATTTATTAAATATAAATGTTTATTTGGGTAATTATTTTTAATAATGATCTTGGGGCCCTTTAAAACACATTTTTGTAGATCCCTCAAAACACTTTTTATGATATTTTGGCTATTCGAAGAACTTTTTTCTAATTTTGTGTTCTTTTGAAGCACTTTTTAATTGAAGAATTTTTTTAAATTTTGAATGCTTTTTATGGTTTATTTCCCCTGGTATTAGATTATAATTATAATTTAGGTGTCTTTTAAAAGATTAAAAAATGGGCTTTACAATTACCATTCTAATGAATAACTGACTCTCTACTCTCTTACTCGTTTCCATATTGTCCCTCAAACTATTTATGTGGTTACTTATTGACTTTTAAATATTAATAATTTAAAGTTTTGTTATTTTTTTACAATTTTTTAAACAACGCTGCCTTAAATATAAAATATTACCAAAAAGTTATAAAAACAAGATGGAGATTATAAACGTTACAAACGTTAAAACGTTATACAAGTTACCGCAATAAAAAAGTTTTGACCAGTAACACTTTGTTTTTTATTAATATTTATTTTTAATATTGCTCCAAGTTATTCCTAAATATTTATGTGCCTAACTACCTAAATCCTATATGTTATAACGATTAAAATATAAATTGTTACATATTAACCCCGGTGCATTCGCCAAAATTGACATTTTTATATTATATTAATTATTGCTATTATATTAAGACCACATATTCACAAAACTATATTGCCCAATTAAGAGGCTGTAGTTTGTAGGCTGTCATTTTAAGAAACACAATAAAGGATAATCTACACTAAAATTATGTCCAGTATTTTATTTTAAGAAAATAAAGCTTACTTAACTAAACACATTGCATTTTTAAATAGGTACCTATGCTGTGAAAAATTAAATAAAAATTAAACAACACTTACCTTTGTAAAAATCTTTTAGCTATAGGTATACGCGTCGTAGTGTGATATTGTTGACAGAGTTTTGGTTTACAGTTTAAAATATCTTTAATTAAATGCTTGAAAAAAAACTAGTACATAAAACTTGGCGGCAAAAGCTTATTAATTGCCTCGCACACAATCTACTGCCTCGGCTATCGCCTCGACAGTGAAATATATGCTCGACGATAATTTGTGCTTTCTTTGCCTGGTCTTTAATGTACTATTATGTTATATGTGTATGTAAACAATTAATTGTCAACATAACCAATAAAATCTTAATTAAAAATCCATAGATCAGTGTATCAAAATGGTTGTCGATTACGAAAAGGTCCAAACGCCATAAAGTTCTTTAAATATGTGGATGCCAATGGTCATAATTTGCGTACCAACAAATTTTAAGTTAAGTTAATGCACTTTTAAATAAATAAACATATTTAAAATAGCCTGAGTAAGGGTTAAAGGCATTTGCTTTAAACACTTTCGGTATTGCATTTATAATAATTTGCTTACTGATTTTCTGTTTACACGACAAGACGTTGAACTCTACGAGGCTAAGAAATGAAAAAAACTGATCTCAATATTGAAAGAAAGTATTTAAGTGTTTATTTATAGAGAACGGTTTGCACAAAATGCGGTAAAAATAAACTGTTCGTAAGTTACAACTTTTTGTTTAGTGCACACATGTTTTTATCTAACATCTAATTTAAAGAAATATATATAGCAAATCTGTACAATATTAAAAAGATTATAAAAAATAAACGATACTTGTGAACCAACCCAGTAAATCATCATTATTAAAATAAATTGCAAAAAGATGTAAAATTATTAGATGGTGTTAAACGCTACCTGTTGTTTCTCGATAATTACATAAAATTAATTAACTTAAGGTAATTCTCGACAATAATTACACGGCAAATGTTTCTGTAAACTTAACTTCATTTACACACTGAAAATATATAAAATTGAATTATAATGTTGTTTTAATAGCGGTAGGCATTTTTTACATTAATACACGTGTAGCTTATCAATTCATGTACAAAGAGTGTGTTATTACTCGATAAATGTTTCTAAAACTATTCCTGATTTTACTATATATTTACAAACAACTGTTGATTTGCATGTGCAATTATTTCTTGAATTTTTATTTATTGTTTATTATTGCTTTAGTTGGATCATACTGATATCTTGATTATTCGAGCGCATTAAAAATAATTTTATTCCAATTAATGGTAAAATAATTTGATGTTTCTTTGCGAGAAATCATGGTTGTTTATAACTGCGGAGAATATTTTATTGCCCAATATAAACGTTTAATTTATGGATAGTCAATGTACACAAGGTTTTTATTTGACATGTTTATTTCTTTCTCAAATTAACGGTCTTTTACTTTTATTATGTCACTGAGGCTTTACGCTAAGTTTATTTATTTATTTTTTTTTGAAAGGAGGAATTTGCACAAAATCTACCTTAATCCTTATGCTATTAATTAATAAAAATGTTTAATGCAATTATTGATATTATTTTTTCTTCTTTCAGATACCGCCGCTCCTTATGTACTTTACAAGGACGGCATGGACCGAACCCAAGGTCAGTGGGGTACCCAGGATGCGTACCCTCCACCACAGCAGCAAACAACAGTTGGTGCAGGCAGTCCCCAACAAGCTCTCGGTCCCACAGTTCCCCTGGGTATCGAAGCAGATACAGTTCCACCTAGGGACCAAAGTTTACCATCTCCGGCCCCTTCGCCGTATCCAGCCACTCAGGCGGAGCCTAGAGAGGATGAAATACAACCAGACCAACCTACAATGGATCTACCACCCAGACCTGCATCGTGTTTTTCTACCGATTTGCAACAGCAACAGCAACAGCAAGCGTACCAACAGTACGCAAGAGCGCCACCACCGGCTGCTCCGCCTCCTGTACCACCACACATGCTGGGGACCGGGAGCTTTTCTGCCCTACAATATCTTAAACAGCCCGGGGTAATGCTATCCAGCCTTGGGCCAGACGGTCAGAGTCACTTGGACCAATATAACATGCAGGATCTGCGTTCGGCCACTTTACCAGACGTAATACAGCAGCACCAGCAAGGGGGCATGAAAAAGCACCAAAACGGGCTAAGCGGCGAGCTAAGATTGTTCAAATGTTTAACATGCGGAAAAGATTTCAAGCAAAAGTCGACGTTACTACAGCACGAGAGAATTCACACGGATAGCAGGCCATACGGTTGCCCGGAGTGCGGCAAGCGGTTTCGGCAGCAGAGCCACCTCACCCAACACCTTCGGATCCACGCCAACGAGAAACCGTACGCGTGCGTTTACTGCGAAAGGACGTTTCGGCAGAGGGCCATTCTGAACCAGCACCTTCGTATCCATTCCGGTGAGAAGCCCTATGAGTGCCCGGAGTGCGGAAAACACTTCCGGCAGAAGGCCATCCTCAACCAGCACGTCCGCACACACCAAGGCGAGCGCCCCGACACAATTTATTTTGAAATGGCGGCCCTACTCTCGCAGCCCCGTGTACCTAGCGATTCTTTGTCTGTCTGTCGTTGTTGTGCCGCACGGGCGGTTAGAGTTGGTCTGCTGCACTGCTCCCTCACATTCCCCAAATCAACCACAACAACAACAGCATTGTTGTCCTTAATTAATTTATTTATTAACACCTTATTTCGTTTATAGTTTTCTGTAGACATCCCTTAAATTAAATGCACTCCTTAATAGTTTTAGTTTATCCCAATTTTAGTTCGTAAACAATAAAAATATTAATGAATTAGGCTAGAAAAAGTATGAATTCATAATAATAACCAAAAGAGGTTTTATATTTTTGTCATCATTTCCTATCATACTTTTTTTAGCTTATTATTTCACCATTTTTAACTACAATGTTGTTTATTTTTGTTTTAGATGTGAGTCCACATTTGGTGTTTAAAAATGGCATAAATCCAACCCTATGGCCTCAGGACGTACCTTTTCCTCCAGATGAAGGTAAAGAGGAGGTAGCTTCTACTTACGGAGATGGGGATGATCAGAATCGTGGTTGCTTTTCACCAAACGGCGCAATAAGCAATCTTCAATACCCTGCCTATTTTAAAGACGCAAAAGGTATGAGCCATTCAGTTTTCGGCTCTAGTACCAACTTCGGAGCGCTGCATTACCTAAACAAAACCCAAGGAAAAGGTTTGCCGGATGTAATACAGCACGGAAGGTCGGCAGGCATGCCTCTCTACGTAAGATGCCCAATATGTCAGAAGGAGTTTAAGCAAAAATCGACGTTACTACAACACGGATGTATACATATCGAGTCGAGGCCGTATCCTTGTCCGGAATGCGGCAAGAGATTCAGACAGCAAAGTCACCTGACACAACATTTGAGAATACATACCAACGAGAAACCATACGGTTGCATGTACTGCGGCAGGAATTTCAGGCAGCGCACTATCCTGAACCAACATCTCAGGATACACACAGGCGAAAAGCCGTACAAGTGTGCGCAGTGCGGCAAGGATTTCAGACAGAAAGCCATTCTAGATCAGCACACTAGGACCCATCAAGGAGACCGTCCGTTTTGCTGCCCGATGCCAAATTGCAGGCGGCGCTTCGCAACCGAGCCAGAGGTCAAAAAGCACATCGACAACCACATGAACCCTCACGCGGCCAAGACGCGAAGAGATTCGACCGGTTCCGATGGGAAGCTCCCGACCAACGGAATGCTGCCCAGAGGCTTGACGCCAACAACAGTCGTGAAGCCGGAGCTGTACTTCCCACAGTGCTACGCTCCCAGCTTCAACCCGCCGACCAGCGTTGCTCAGTTTCAGTCGCCCAACCCCGAATTCAAGCCGCCCAACGGGCTTCCGGCCCAGTGACTAACCGCCAGCTGGCAACTTGGTCCTTGCATTGGGTGACCCGTTGCCGGTGTACAATCTTGTCGACCCAATCTAGTTGCGTAAAGGATGGATTCATGGACGGTTGGATTCTCTCTGGCCGATCCTTTCGGGTGATACATACATGTAGCTGGTATTTTTTTTGTGGCGATCTCAATACGTTGCAAATGTATTTTTGCCGAGTGATTTCCAAATAATGGTGCTGGAGATCTAATTAAACAGGTAACGCATCCAAAAAATACCAGAGGAAAATAAGTACTGGCATCCGTTTTAAAATTACAACAAAATCTCTCCAAATTCGTATTTTTTTCTGGAAAATTGAGGATGGGTTTCTGTGGCTCATGGTCGCTTGTAAGGGGGAACATGTCACACTCGATAAATATACATACTTATAAATATATGTAAAATGTAAAAGTATTTTAAATTTTATTCATACTATGTCCGATTCACTTAGTGGCAATACTTTTAAGCAAAAGTACTTCAATAAGTATAATATATTATTGTTGTAGTTAGATATTACTATTATGTGATCTCTTTAGTGTAAAACTGCAAGAGAAATGGACGGAACTGTTTGACGGGTTCTAACTACATCAAAGTCCTTGGGAAAAGGACCTCACAATATTTTTACAAATAACAATACAATACCTACAAATAACAAAATGACGGTTGTCGAAAATATGCCCACAACGTTTTTAGTTCAAGTCACAAGTTTTAGAAGCAGCTTTTATGAAACATTTTTGTTAGTAGGTAATTATCAGAAACAGGATTAGTTTAACAATTCAATACAATGTTTTCTGGAACTTGTGATCTTCTTCAATTAATGTAATATACAAGTAATATTTTTATACTCAACAGATGACTATATCCATGATATTTTTTAGTTTCTATACCATAGCAATATTAATAATATATGGTACTATGCGGGTATATTTTTTTCAACGGTACATCAGTACAATAGAACTATTTTTATGTAAGTAATAACACACAATATAATTTAATTCTACAGTGTCTTTTAAAATAGTGCACAATGCAAACTTATACATAATATACGTATAATGGTGAAGGTTCGAACCCACTCTTTATATGATCTACCGTTTTTATAAATATATATTCTATATATACAATATTATTAGAATTTAACTTTTTTATAAAGGGACAACACAATATAAGTAATTTTATCCTGATTCTGAGGCAGATTATGATTAAATACAATAGTAATCCATAGATTTAATAGTAATAATATACAAAACATTTTTCTTTTTTCACTAAAATTTAAGAATACTGTTTGTGGAACAGGAAGTATTCTTAAATTTTGGGTTTTTATAATACAAGACAATTTAGCGAACATTAGCATCTTGGCAAGATTTGTTGAAAAATTAAATTTAACAAAAAACATTTTTAGTTAAAATTATCAAATACCAATATGATTTCAATCTTAATGATGTGATGTAATAATATGCCAATAAGTAGTGAACAACTACATACCATAAGTACATAAGTTATTTATTATATAGAGTATAATGAATAATGGTATTTTAACATGTTAAATAATTTTACAATAGCTCACTAACAAATTTTCTGAACAAAATAGAACGATTTCCTAAATACATTTAGGAAATTTACTAAATTCGTATAATTAATAGTTACTACAGTACAACTTACATAAAATCAAAATAGTATATAATTAAAAGTAAATATTAAATATGTATTGAAATAATGCTGTTTCCGATATTTTTAAAGATCAATGCAGCATTGTTTTGTAAGCAAATGTGGATTTGACAATCACACTTAAAATAACACAGGCCAACAAAAATTTTAAACCAAAAAACAGTTCTCATAGTGTGATGATCTAAATCTAGACCCTCCATCACGTCAGATTTTTTGCTATATTAAGGTAATTAAACTCAAAGTTTCGGACTTGTATTGTCCTAATATATCTATAACGATAGTGATATATAAAGGACGTTTAGATCAGAACACTTGAGTTTAGTTTAGCTCTCGATTGCTATATTCAAACATTTGAGTTAATGCTATATTATTTTGGAAAACAGATTTTCTATTTTTCAAATATCTGATGTGATGATTCGGATTCAGAACGCTAACAATCTTTAGGTTTCTGGTTTAAAATTAAGTCGTCTTGTGTAATTAATGAAATAACGTGGTGCGGCATGCCGCATTACTTCATTTCGTTTTCCGTTGATAAATATAATTTACAGATGACTGTATTTTGCAGTACATGCCTTGCCAAAGTTCCTACAAATAGTTACAGGGGACATTTTGTGAATTTATTTACAGATAAAAACATTTTCAATGAAAATGTTTCCATATTCATATACACAAGCTCAATTAATCTGTCTCAGATCGAATGGTGTTGGCTCTTGTTTACCATGTATACAACAGTATAACCTACAACAAATATAAGATATAAGGTTTTAAGTTTCAGTACAGTAATTCTATTAAGTTTATTATTATTTCGGATTTAATTGTGTTGTTTTGTATCACAAAGCAATGCAATACCATGAAAAAATTGTTTGACAAAATCTCGAGCAGAACATTTAAGGATATTAATAATGTTAAGGAAAAAGTGTAAAATTGTAAATATTTATGTTCAATTTTAGGTCCCGTCAAAACTATAAATATTGTACTAAAGACCAAATCTTTTTGTAAATGTATTTGTTTATATTAGATTGTTTGTATACGATTAATTTAGTAAAAAGAGAAAAATATATAATTAAATTGGTTAAGGTCTAATTGTAGATGAAAAGCCGAGGAATAATATTAACAACAACTATTGGTTTTGAATTTAAGACAATTGCGAGTTTTTGCTCATAGACGTTTAATGGAATTTGGCTTTAAGCATTACTTCAAACATTAAATTATATACGGTCTTCTATAATTTACTTTACGAGTTTATGGCTATAACTAAAAAGTGTTATTAGTAACATTGTACACATCAACTGTAGTCCAATACATACGAAGTGTGTTAAAAATTAACCAATTTTTTTGGAAGAATTTATTATTTATGCGTCTACATGAATGTAATTCTTTTAAAATATTATTTATTGTTATTATTTCAATTATATAGTATGCCTGCGCTTCTTCTAATCCTTGAAACACTTCTAGTGTTTTAAGGATCTTTGGAAAAGCTTTTAGGTTTTTTGTCGATGTTCTTTAAATCCTATTTGTAATTGTAAATACACGACCCTTTAAGGTTTTCTTAATTTTTGGGAACGCGGTCTTACGATAGTACGTCAAACCAATCACAGTGCTTGATATAGATATCTGCGACTATTGTAGATCGATTCCCTTTGAAGATAGCCATTCCAGTCCATAATAGAAAACCATATATATACCTATATATTAAAATAGCATCAAAAAGTTAAATAAAACAAAATAGTTGTTGTTTTATTAGATGGAAAGACAAAAGGCTGTAGCAGCCGTTATTTTATTGAGCTACAAGACTTATATAAAACCGTGATAGCATTTAATTAGTTGTAAGACAATTTTATGTAAATATAATTACATTTTTAACTCGTTTTTACTAAAAGTATGTTACACATGGTGTATAATATAAAAGATGTGTTACTTGTGAATGTGTGATATCCCAGTTGGGCCATTTATTTTACTACCAACACATATATTGTTTACTTTGACCAATAATATTGTTCTGATACTATCTGCACCAATAATCAAATTAAATTTGTTACAACTAATAAAAGCAATGATCTTCTTATTTTTAAGACTGAATATCATTCCACTTTTGGCACAGCATTCCAAAAAATAACACAAAAACCAAGTATCAAAGCGTATTGTTGGTCAAAAAAGTTTTTAATTGTTAATTTTTATACACAGATCTAAAATGGCACTGCGCATTCAAAAAGCTTTAATTCTTTAGACTTTATAAAAGTATTTATTATAAAATGTTGATTATTTGTTTAGGTTGTTAAATTTTTTATTTATTATCATGTGCAGTGCCGTTTGAAATGGAATAATAGTAAAACTATTATAAAAATACTCAAAGTAGTTGTAAGTAATATTGTACTAAGTGCAGCTAAAATCAATATATTTTACAAAAAAATTAAGTACTAATTCTGCAATTCTCAGTTATTTTGCAATCTTTAAAAGATCTCTATGCAGAGTAAGGTATAAAATATAATTATATAAGTGCCATAGTGTAATAAATAATATAAGAGTTTTGTTTTTATATTTTGCAATTTTTACAATGTATATTTTATATATATTGATCGAAGTTTCATGTTGTTTTGTTGGTACCAAACTTGAATTAAAAAATATTTAAAATTCAGTCAAAATCAACAGAATAAATTGAAATGGCGATCATTTAAAATATAGATGAAATGGATACCTAACTCCAGATTTTCTAGATATTAGAGATGTAAATTTAAAAAATTCTTAGTGATACAAAAATTAAAAAGTTAGCAAATCCACAAGCAGACAAGATAAACCACTAAAGACTGGGATATTATCGAACAGGGTTCTTTAAAAAAGAAAAAATGTCATGTAAATGTTTTTGTTTTTAGTAGGTGTGATTGGATTTCTCGTGTTTTTTAGTGTGTTTAATGAAGAAAAACGCCCTAATTTCTGTTTGTGAGACAATCTCTAAATCAATTAAAATATCTCAACGGTATATGTGTTTTAAAAATCGAAAATATTTTGCGTCCAGCAACTTTTCAATAAGAGAATCATTTCAGTTCGTTTTAAAGTTTTCATTTTAAGGTGATTGTTTTTTATGTTTTGTATAGGCGAACTATAGATACGACGTACACTAACCTCAATAATGCCATTAATTGTTACAGTTACTAAATGCTCAATCAATATACAATAGTCTTATTTTTCTTACACACTGCAATACATGTATTTGCTCAAGAGTACAAATACTGTAAATAATAGATACCGGAATTGTTTTTATAATATAAATATATTCTAATTATATGAATTGATTCTCTTTGTATTGCATATTAAATAAATATGAATGTATTTGTTAAACCCTACACATCTTTTTATTTTTACCCATCCTTTATTTTCAAATAGGTTTTCATAAATATATATTTTTAGGTTAATAATTTAAAAAATTATTTTTATTTTATTATAATATAATTAATATAAATTAATTATTAAATAATCTAATGCTATATAGAGACCTTGGTCCTAAAAAGAAATACCCAACAACAGGCTTAGGGAGCGAAAAAACAAATCATTAAATTTTGCTATTTTTGAATTTCACACTATAAATTCAAAAATAAAAAATAGACAAACAAACATAAAAAATTAAACATACCTTTTAAATTTCGCGAGCTGGTTTGGCGAGGAAGTGGGTCATTTCACAGATTGAAAAAAAGAAAAATTTAAAAATTATCAAATCAAAACAGAAAACCCGATAAAATAAAATGTGATGAAAAAAAGGCCAGCGGTTCTAAACGTATTTAAAAAGCAAGACCTATCCTTTGTTTTTATAATGGTCGCCATAACTTATGTAGTTTGCCTCATTGGATTCCTTGACTTAATAGGAATAGGAATATAAAAGATGGTGGTGGTATATTAATATCTAGTAGGCGACGACAAAGTCCCAAATTTGATGAAAATGTAGATAAATGTGTATGTTCCTATGTCAAACTTTTTTAAAATTTTCAGGAATAACAAAGTTATATCAGTTTTTGGTTTTGACATTTTGCATTTTTTTCAAATTATTTGAACCGCTGATTGTGTCCCAATTTTTAAATTCCATTTTAATAGACTTGTAATTACGCAACCTTTTAGGAAAATATGTGGTAGGTTAGGGTAGGTTAATCAGTCCTTGCAAAATCAAAGAATTGGTAGTAGTAGTCAAACAACTTGTTTTAAACAAGTGCAA